GCCCACATCACACATCTTCCCAAGGCTCCCCTGGCACTCCGTAGGAAACGCCGGCAGCAGCCGAACCACCGCTAACACCGTCTCAAACAGCTCTTCTTTCGCTGCCTTTTCCTCCTCCGGCTTGCCCTGAAACAGGTCACGCTCGCGGGGGCCCAGACGCCCGTCGACCTTCTTTTCCCACCAGGAGATCAATTCCTGCAGCTGCATTTTCAGCAAGTCCCCGTGCTGTGCTGCTGCCCTGCGTCTGCGGGTCTCTGCCTCCTTCTCCTCCTTCTCCCATTTCGCCACCACGTTTTCCCCTCTCGCTACAGGACTCACATCCCCATCGCCCCCCTCTCCTTGCCCCTCCTCCTCTCCTGTTTCGCCCCCACCTTGCCCCCCCCCCGCTGCCCCCTCTCCCCCTTCCTTCTGCTCACCCGCCGCTTCACCCCCGTTCTCCCCACCCTCTCCCCCATCCATGCCCTCTTTCAGCAGCAGGGCCTTCACCCCAAAAAGCATCTCCACCTGTCGAATCGACTCATGGATCGACCTGAGCGCCCTGTAATGCAGAGGCTCGAGAACTTTAGGCTGTGATCCAAGAAACGCGTCTGAAGTGTCCCCATCGTCTTTTTCCATGTCTTCATCCTCGTCCTTGCGAGCTGTTTTCCTGCGCTTGCTTCGCCATAGGTTAGGCAGGGAGTGCTCTGGAAGTGAGTGCTTTTGAGACTGCTGCTGCGGCTTCTGCTGCTGCGGTTGCTGTTGCTGTGGTTGCTGCTGCTGCTGTGGTAGCTGCTGCTGCTGTTGTTGCTGCAGCTGCAGCTGCTGCTGCTGCTGTTGCTGCTGTTGCTGCAGCTGCTTCTGCTGCTGTTGCTGCTGCTGCTGCTGCTGCTTCTTCTGCTGCAATAGCATCTGTTGTTGCTGTTGCTGCTGCTGCTGTAACATGGGGTGCGGCTGCTGTTGCTGCAGCAGCACATGCTGCTGCTGTTGTTGGCGCGGCATACTGTTCTGCTGCTGCACGAGCTGCTGCTGCTGTGAAGGCACCTGATGCTGCTGTTGCATCTGGTTGCCTTGAACAGTCAACTGTTGCTGTTGTTGACGCAGCGTACTGCTGTTCTGCTGCTGCTGCTGTGAAGGCACCTGATGCTGCTGGTGTTGCATCTGATTGCCTTGAACAGTCAACTGCTGCTGTTTCGGCTGCTGCTGCTGCTGCTGTCTCAACTGCTGCAGCAGTTGCTGCTGCTGCTTCCACTCCTGCATCTGTTGTTGCTGCCTTTGATACGTCTGCTGCTCCTCGCGAATACGTTGCGCCTGAGATAAGGTTGCATCTTGTTCCTGAACACGCCCTTGTAGCTGCTTCAGCTGCAGCTGCGATGACTGTGTCTGTGGTTGTGTGTGTGGCTTCTTCAGCTGCTCCCACCACTGCTGCTGCTGCTGCTGAGTAGGAGGTTGCTGAAGCTCCTGTGGTTGCTGCGGCTGTTGCTGTTGGGTCGCTTGTGGTGGGAAGTGGGGCGCAACGCCTTGCTGCTTCTGCATAGGGTGGCCTAGCAAGAGTTGCTGAAGGTTTCGTGGAAGCTTGAACCAGGGATGATCTTGCTCCTGTACCTGCTGCTGTTGGTTCGGCTGCTGCTTCTGTCTCTTTGGCTGCCCTTGCTGCTGCCCCTGGTGCTGTTGGTGCTGCTTCTGTTTCTGCTGCTGCTGCCCCTGCTGCTGCTGTCGCTGCTGCTGCGGCGGCTGGAGTGGCTGCGGCGGCGGCTGCTGCAGCTGCAGCTGTTGTTGCGGCATATGCATACCATGCAGGCCAGACAACGGCTGAGGCGACGTGAAATGCTGCTGCAGATGCTGGTGCTGTTGAAGCTGCTGATGCTGTTGGTACTGCTGTTGCCATAGCTGTAACTGGTCTAGCTGCGCCTGCTGCTGAGGCTGCATCATTACCTGTGGACTCGCCTGCTGCCGGCACTGCTGCTGCTGCTGCTGCTGCTGCTGCTGTGGGGACAAAGCCGGCACCGGATTTCCCTGCTGCAGCAAACTGTGTTGTTGCTGCAGCTGCGGCTGCATTATATGCTGATGCTGCTGGGGGAATAGAGCTGGCGGCTTGAGACTCTGCACTGGACTTTGCTGCTGCACCAGCCTGTTCCGTTGCTGTTGCTGTTGCTGCTGTTGCTGTTGCTGCTGTTGCTGCTGCTGTTGCTGTTGCTGCTGTTGCTGTTGCTGCTGTTGCGCCTGCGCCTGCGCCTGCTGCTGGGTCTGCGCTTGCGGCTGGCCCTGCTGCGGTTGCTGCAGGGTGAACTTGCGTGGCCCTGCCAAACCTGGCTGCTGCAACAGCATGTTACGCTGTTGCTGCTGCTGCTGCTGCTGCTGCTGCTGCTGCTGCTGCTGCTGTGGTTGCTGTTGCCGCTGCTGATGCTGCTGCGATTGCGTTTGTTGCTGGCCCACCACCGGCTGCCGAACCTGCGGCTGCAACAGCCGGTTCCGCTGATGTTGCTGCAGTTTCTGCTGCTGCGGCTGCTGATATTGCAGATTGTTGACGGGCTGGTTAACTTGCCCGACGGCTGACGGCTGGCCGGCTTGTTGCTGTCCCTGATGCTGTCGGCGTGCCTGCACTGTCGCTCCCTGCTGCAAACGTCCTCCCTGCACTTGCTGTCCCTGCACTTGCGGTGCTCCGTGCAATAGCTGTGCTCCCTGTGCGCCTTGAACTTGCGGAATCTGCGCCTGAGGCACGGGGCTTCGAGATGGCACGTTCTGCCTTACCGATCCTGCCATCATAGGACCATGCGTGGCCGGCGTGGCCGCCTGATACGGTAAGTTCTGATGCATCAACGCCGGGTGGCCGATCCTTTGGGTCTGCAGGTTCGGAGGTGCTGCTGTAGCAGGGCTGATCCGCTGAGAGGGTACGTTCATCAGGGGTGCTTGCGGGGCCTGAGCGACCCGCGAATGCGGTAGAGCTTGATTTCCGCCTTGATTTGCCGGAAACGACGCGGCGATCTCCTGAACTCCCGGATTTGCAGGAGCCGGTGCGGTCCGAAAGGGTGACACACGGTTTGAAGGAACGGAGTTACGAGATGGATCCATGGTGCCTGTCTGCTGTCCTTGCGACTTATAAACCCGAACAGGTTTGTCTGTAAGATCTGAGACAACGCTCTTCTCAGTTACGAACGACACTTCTATGGTTTCTACGCACCTTAAGCCTAGGTTAGTATGGTAGCCATCTAAACAGAACTAACTAAGCGTGTGCGCTGTGGGAAGCGAACTGAGCCTGAGCAGGGTTCGAAGATACTCCAGAACTAGAACTGAGGAATGGATGAATCAGGATTCAGGAATCTCACAGATATCCACCGCTGCTGCAAACTCGAATCAAGCAGGCGTCCCATATTCCCGTCTGAACATGCTTCCGGAAGTTTCTCGTAAGTGCATCGTTTGCTCGTACCTCAGCCTGCTCTGTGCCTACGGTGTTGAGTCCTAAAGCACTAAGACGTTGGATTCTCAAGTTAATAGCGTTCCTAGCAAGGCGATCATTGTGAGGAAGGAATCTAGGAACTCAGCAGCTAAGGAAAGTCCATGTCCCGACGTCACCAAGTCTGCACTACTGCTGTAAGTCATTTGAATCTACCGTTGCCCTGGGTGAAAATCTCTCAGGATTCCCTCCCAGAATAATCTGGTTTCAGGGGTTGCCTGATGGTGATGCTGTTTGTGGTCATCCAGAAGCCCAACACCATGCCCCCTGTCGTAAAGGACAAGCTCGAGGGGCGAAGTGCTGGACGAGTTACATTTGCGAAGACACAATCTGTCACCTGCGGATGGTTACCGAAGCTGGCGTTGTGACGAGCATAGCCTCGCGATAGACAGGGGTCAAATTTGCGAAACCGAATTTCGCACGCTTGCCTTTCAGGAGCGCGGGAAACTCCTTGACTTGAACCATGTCAGAACTGGGAAAATCTCGAGGTGCAGTTGTTCCCGATATTCCCTGACACAGATGGTCAATCTCGTCCGCACGATTCAGATCACGGAAACTTGCCGACATGATCCGTTTGATTTACTCCGATATGAGATCCCCTTCCGTCAGTGAGAATTCAGGGCGGAATCGGCGAAAGCATTCAGGGATGGCATTGATAGGAGTTTGCCCGTGTAAGGCTGGGGATTAGCCAGTGGAAATATGGAGTCTCTCCATTACAAATCCTCGTCGACTAGGTTTTGATACCTTGCTTCACAATATCCACGATGCATTTAGAGGCGGTTTCAAACCTTGTCTTCCAGTAAAAGGCTTTGAAACCTAGGCCTTGCATTCATTCTAGTCGCGAAGGAATCCAGTTTTATACTAGGTCACTGTCAACCTATTCCGCGCGGAAGAAAACTCCTGGTTTTGTCTTCCAGTAGAAGGCGTTGAAACCTAGGCCTTGCGTTCCTTCTAGTCGCCAAGAACTCTAGAATCATACTAAGTTGTCAACCCGTTGTTGCACGCGGAGTATCTTGGTCTCGAGCCATGACGTCAGCTCCTTCTCAAGATAAGTTCATTACCGGACAGCGAGTAGCTCTTAAGGAGCCCGAAAAGGGCCTCCGTTACGCGCCGCGTGGCACCGTGCGATACGTCGGACCCGTGGACGGTCACAAGGGCGAGTGGGTTGGCGTAGAGTGGGACGATCCTTCGCGAGGAAAGCATGACGGAGTGGTAACCGGGAAACGTTACTTCCATTGCGAAATGGTCCCTGCTGGCACGCCAGCCGGATCGTTTGTGCGACCGCAAAAGCTGACTGGAGGGGTCACTCTGCGTGATGCATTGCTGGACCGCTATAACACAAGCGGGGAGGACTATAAAGGTGCATATTCTTTCTCGCATTGAACAACGATGCCCATTTCGCGCATCATTACTCGTTGCTATATTACAGGCCATTATTCCAAGGTGGAAATTAATTTGATTTGACGTATTCAGTGTTCCTTTCTCACATAGCATCTGCATATTTTCGTATCTTGCATCGATCCACTCTACAGCGGAGCCCATTTACAGGGCTCTAGGCCGGCGAAGGGCCATGGTGATCGAATTCGTGTCTGCTCCAGCGAATAAGAGTGGAGCAGATAGGGCTGGAGAAGGAATCGATACAGCTGTGCTGGGGAATGATAGAGACGCATCTGGCGGAGTGGGGGGATCTGAGGAAAAGGGGACTCAGGGTGAATCAATGGGAACGAATGGAGGCATGTTGGGTGGAAGAGAAGGCAGGGAAGAGGACAAGGGCGAGCCGCCCAAGAGAAACGGGATGTGGCTGTCTCGTCTCCAGGCTGCAAACGTGTCGGAAGTGCCTGTGGGGTCGGTGGGAGCTGTAGGGGAGGTCGCAGCTATTGCATGTGAGTGCTTGCGGCTTTATTTGTTAAGCACCTAGAAAATTGTCTTCAGGGTGCAAACGTGTCGGAAGTACCCGTGGGATCGGTCGGTGGGAGCTGCAGGTGAGGTGGCCGCTATCGCATGTGAGTGTGTGTTGCTTGTCCCTTCTGCACGCAGTGGCTGATGCGTGTTTCGAGGCGTACTGCTTGTGGATACTTGCCATTTCCTCCTACCCAGAGTGCATGCGTGACTTGAGAGTTCATAGCATGTGCTGCCTCCATTCTACTCCGCCGACACCTCTCTTGATATCCCATTACCTCCTCAGGTCAAATTTGAGAGAGGGCCTCCTTGCATTGCATGTGCTGCGGCCATTCAACCGTCTCAGTGCTCTCTTCTCTTTGCCTCTCGTCTCAGTGCTCTCTTCTCTTTGCTTCTCGCCTCAGTGCTCTCTTCTCTTTGCTTCTCGTCTCAGTGCTCTCTTCTCTTTGCTTCTCTTCTCTTCCTCTGCATCCGTCTCCCCCAGCCCTGACAGAGCTTGACATGTCATACCACCTGCTCAACACCTGGCACGAGGTGCAGAGGGTAGGGGAGGAACTGCCAGGCCTCACAGCCCTGGACATCGGCCATTCCAGACTCTCCTTCCCTTCGTTTGTTGGAGTCTCGCCTCCTCCTCCTCCTGCGCTCTCCGTCTCTCCGTTGGCTGCGCTAAGGAAGCTTGGGCTGAGCAACACACGGGTCACATGGGCCCAGGTACGTGGGGCACGGGTGAACGTGAAATATCTTTTCTTTTTAGACGCCTCAAAATCCCCTCCGTCTCTCCATTGGCTGGGCTAACCAAGCTTGGACTGAGCAACACACGGGTCACATCGGCCTAGGCATGAGGAGCACAGCTGGAGGTCTCCTCTTTCTTCTTCCAGCCCCATTTTCCTTCCAAAATTCTTTCCTATATTTCTCCTCAAATACTTACCAGTTTCCCTCCAAATCTGCTTCAACCGCTCCTTACCCCTGCCCAATCTCCTTGCTTCAACTCCCCATTCAGGTGGAGGAACTTTCACGGCAGCTTCCCCTACTCGAGACCCTGGTTCTGATTAAAAACGAGATCTCAGGACTGCGACCCAGCTCTGGTGCCGATGCCAGTCGTGCTCCTCTGGACTGCCTTCAGGTGAGAAAGCAGGCAACTTCTGAGTTGTCTCAGTAGCCTCCTCGAGACCCTGGTCTCAGGAGTTGTGCCAGTTCCGCCTCTCCTTACAGTGGCCCATCGTCATTGCAGCTTACTGCATTCTCCTTGTCTTAACAGGCTCCTGCCGACCCTTTTCTCTCCAACCCCCTGCTGTCCTCCCCTCTTCTCCACCTTCTCCTCTTCATCCCCTCCCGTCCCAACCCTCCTCTCCAACCACTCCTGTCGGCCCCAGCGCCCCTCACAGCATCTGACCTACCTAGACCTATCTGACAATCGCATTGCTCACTGGGACGATTTTTGAGGCGCCTCAAAGATCGTCTCACTGCATCTGACCTACCTGGACCTATCGGACAATCGCATTGCTGACTGGGTGCCACTGTTCCCCCTCTCCCTTTTCTTTCTGACCTGCCTTCACTGCAACTTGTGCTCATTAAACCAATTCACTCTCACTCCCCTTCCCCCTCACAGCACCTGACGTACCTGGACCTATCGGACAATCGCATTGCTGACTGGGCCCAAGTCTCCTTCCTCTCAGCCTTACCTTCGTGAGTGCCGCTGCTGCCACTCCTACATCAACACCAGCACTAGCACTATCACCGTCGCCAGCCACAGCACTCCTGTGCACCCATCACAGCACCTTTCTCTCAGCCTTACGCTTGTTGAGTGCTGCTTCTGCCACCTCTGTCTTGTGCTGCTGCTGCCGCTTGTGCTGCTTATACGTCTTCTTGCCACTGCTGCGGCTCATGGCTGAGATTTCGCACCAGCACGTGCCTTGTTATGCGTTCTCCTGTATTCTTTGCTCGTTCTGCTCATCCTGCTGCAAGGTTTTTGTAACCTCCCCTGTTCTCTCGCTCATTCTCCTTTTTGTCCTCATTCTCCTTTTTGTCCTCATTCTCCTTTTTGTCCTCATTTCGTTCCTCTTGTTCCTCCTTGCTCCGTGAACAGCTTGAAGTGGCTGCTGCTATCAGGAAACCAAATCACCAACATCCCAGGGAATGATGGCTCGCCTGCAAACGCCTCTACCTTTCACAACCTGCACCATCTTTCATTAGGTACGCACTTTTGCGAGCTCTCATAATTCACTTACGAGATCACTGGTAAGACTTCAACCAAAGATGAATTTGATTTATGCGCATTGCCTGAAATTGTACCTGTGCACATACGTCATACTCCTCCCTCCTTGCCTGATTCCCAACCCAGCTGACAACAACATGTCTCAGTGGTCGTCCGTATATGCCCTGGCCATCACATGCTTTTCAATGTCATGCAACACAGCTTGAGTCAACTTGAACTGCTACCTGTGTGTGCACTCCTCCCTCTTTCACCCCATTCCCAACCCAGCTGACAGCAGCATGTCTCAGTGGTCGTCCGTATATGCCCTGGCCATCTCATGCTTTTCAATGTCATGCAACACAGCTTGAGTCAACTTGAACTGCTACCTGTGTGTGCACTCCTCCCTCTTTCACCCCATTCCCAACCCAGCTGACAGCAGCATGTCTCAGTGGTCGTCCGTATATGCCCTGGCCATCTCATGCTTTTCAATGTCATGCAACACAGCTTGAGTCAACTTGAACTGCTACCTGTGTGTGCACTCCTCCCTCTTTCACCCCATTCTCAACCCAGCTGACAACAACATCTCTCAGTGGTCGTCCATAGATGCCCTGGCCATCACATGCCCGAACCTCAATGTATGGCACATGTTTTTCCCCAACATCACATTCCCGAACCTCAAGTACAATGTCCAATCTCTCTTCTCAAGTTCTACAATACTTTGGATTTCTCCAATCTCAACTTGAAGCTTGCCGACAAATTTTTTATTTTTCAACCTTGCTTCTACCTTCCCTTCAACCTGTCTCTTTCCCTTTCATCTCTCCCCTCTTTATCAACATCCCAATCTATTCTCTCGCCAGGAGCTTGTTCTCTCCCACAAGCCATATGTGCCCAGATTGCATTCAGCCAATCAAACGCCAGCATCAGCCAGTGCTCCAGCCAATGGCAACGTGACGAAGTGCAACGGGACAGAGGGCAGGGCAACAGCGAATGGGAGCCTGACACCTGGCAGTGACGGTGCTGCTGCTGCTGATGGGGAGGAGGGTGGGAGGGTGGAGAGGTGTGAGTTTGGGCTTGGGGTGACGGAGGAGGGGAGGATGGGAGTGATTGCGAGAATGGGGTCAATTCAGAAGCTCAATTGTGTTCAGGTGAGATTCTCTACATCTCAGATCATGATGGGGTCGATTCAGAATTACAAGGTCAATCCAAAAGCTCGATTCCGCATAGGTCAATTCAAAGCTCAACGTTGCTCAGACGAGTGGAAATCTGTGAAGCTCCCTCAATACCAGGTAGAAGAGAGTGATGAGATGATGGAACTCAGGGAGCGCTTGGATGCAGAAATAGGCACATCTCCCATGCCATCTCAACAATTTTGTGTGTGTTTCCATGCCTGTTTGCATGCCTGCCTGCTTATGCATGTCCCCGTGTGTAATCAAGACATCAGATCCTACCCAGGGAGCGCATGGATGCAGAGATATGGTACATCTCCCACACCATCCGATCGCTCCCCCATGCCACATCCGTTCCCCAACTCATCTCCTCCGGCCACCCAGCAATCCCTGCTCTTCTTGCCAAATTAGGCCTTGACTTGGTATCAGAGCGACGGAAACTCCTCCCAGGCGTCCATGCCAACGCTTCCACAGCTGCTACTCTTGCTCCTGGTTCTGCCGGTGCTGCTGGTGGTGCTGGCAGTGCTGGCAGCAATGCTGCTGATGTTACTGCCAGCTCCAACCGCCCCAGAAGCTCTTCGTTCCTCAGTAAGCCCTCAGACCCCTCCTCTTAGCAACCCTCCCCCACTCCGTGATCTCCTTCCACTCTCTCTTTTTTCTACCTTCCAAGCCTTTTGATGTCTTTTCCATCAACCTCTGAGCCTATTCATAAGTGAATGCTCTCCTTGCCATCACCCCTCCGTTTGCGCTCGTTTGTTTTGTTCATTCCAGGCATCACTTTCCGGGTGATTGCTCCTGAATGTGACAGTAGCAGCATGGCAAAGGAAGTTACCAAGAAGCTTCCTCAGTCCACAACTGTAAGTGCTAGCTCGCTAAAAATATAGCATCTGTTCACTCATCGCTCAAGACACTACTGCTGAGTTGAATCGCTGGTGTTTGAAAAGCCTGCTGACAAGAATTGGCTTAACAGGCATGTCACACAAGCTGTCACTGAACCAGCATGTTCGCTCGTGGGTCTCAGCTGTCCAGAATGACATTTTTCTCGACTAAAGGCACATGCTGGTCACAGCATGGTCCAGCATGGACACATGCTGTTCATCCATTCGCCCTCCCTTCGCTGCACGTGCACATCTGAACTGCATGGTCACAGGTGTCTAAAATGCGACCCCTCATTGCTCGATTGCTCAAGCTGGAGCCCCACTCCTTCTCCCTCTTCCTCCTGCCATCCACCCTCGAAGGCGTTCAGGTAGGGAGGCAGGGAGTTGTGAGAAGGGCTTGAGGGTAGAATTTTAGAGCTTAGACTTACAGGCTTGCGTGATTTACGTCTCTTGGTTACCTGAGAGGGGCTCGGAGGGATGGACTCTAGAGCTTACGATTACAGGCTTGCTGGATTTGCGGGCCTCTCACTTCACTCCTGCTAGAGACGATACCATGCCTTTGGGAGTGCTGGTGCGTTCTGGTACTATAGCTCCCTTGAGTGCTTCTCGAATGGTGGATGCTTTACAAACCAGCATCCTTATTGATGTGCTTGTTGCTTTATGCTGTTCTTTCTCCCACGCGCCCTGCAGCCTCTCCCTTCACTCCTACTGGACGATACGGTGCCTTTGGGGGTGCTGCTGCACTCTACTACCACAGCGGCTTTGAATGCTTCACAAGCGACCATCCTTGTCGATACCTCGCTGGTGAGTACATGATGTATTCTGGGGTATCAGCACACCTATACTTCATTCGCCATTACCTTCAGCGACGTTGATGATGATGTTTCATTGACAAAATTGGAATGTTTTTCTCCTCCCCCTTTTTTAATTCTATTGTACAGGATGTTCAGCAGGCAGAATCGCTTTCAGTTCCTCAAGTTTTGGCATGTGAGCAACGGTTACTAAAATTGCAGGAGAAAGTGTGAATTATGCGTTTGCTCAATATTGCTTAATGAACTGGGTAGTAAGTTATGCTGACTATTTATTGTTCGCTTGAGCCAACAAGATAGTACAGTTAGGCTCCCCGCTAAGGACACACCGCAACATCCAGGCTTTTCCCGCCTCTTTCACCCTAAAATATGCTTGTCTGACAGCTCTCTTCCAACAATCGAGGCCGTCCGATTTCGTTTTAACGCACTGTACACCCTCGATCTTCCACGGCACGACATCCCCTTCAAGTTGTCACCCAGCTCACGGATCACGACACATCCCAACCAATTCCCAAGGCCCTGAGCTCTCCATTTTCTGTTTTCCGCTCCATTTTCACGAATCTTCTCCATTCTACTTTTCCTCCCTTTTGGCTAATATGGTCTCCTTAGCTGTCTCCGAGGTGGGATCTTGTTGAGCTCCTTCTTCCCAGCACCGCGCTTCTCTTATAGCATCTCGTCTAGCACACTAGAACCATGATCTGTTCCCAGCGATCGCTTTGCACGTTCGACTCCTCCAATCTCTGGCCTCTCGAGAGGGAATCTCTCGCTAAGCCATACTCGTCGAACAGGCTTTTTTACTTCTCAATGGCCCGTACTTTCTCTACCGTACGTTTGTTCTCTTACGACAAAAAATATCCACGCGTCGGTTCTTGTATGGCCGACGATTTGCGTAGAGTAAGCAATATGGAACCCTGTCAAATCGTTGGCCAATCGGAGTGCAGAAGCAAGCACCACCCAGCACGTGAGCGGCATCAATCCCGGCGCTCGCTATTAGCTCTTTCGGCTCGCCCTAGCGAACGCGCTAGCCATGCCACGTGTACGAGAAGTCGATCAACCGAGCGCCGCCAACGATTTTGCGAAGCGTCGATTGCGTCCTGTCGTAGAGCGTCATATCGTAGACTGCTGCCCTACGATAGAGACCCTCCGTGGGTCCTGCAGCGGCGAGTCGCGGCTCTTCTCAGCGAAGGCTTCGCCGTGTCCTCAGCCTCCGAGGTTTCTCAAATACCCCTGGTTCAAACAGAATCCGGTACGGGTTGGTCTGGGTGTCTGCCTGCGGGGTGATTTTGAGGCACCTCAAGAACTAGTCGGCCTCACCTGCCGGGAGTTGTCATATACCCGCGCTTTGCTCCGTATTTCGTGCGGGTTCTTATAGTTGCGAGCTGCGTGGCCTCACTAAACGAGAGCAGCTGCAGCAGCCTCGGCAGCCGCAGCCGCAGCAGCATCACCATTGGCGGCACTCCACGCCGCCGCTAGCGTCATCGCCAGCGCCGCCGCTAGCACGCCATCAACGCCGTCGCCTGCACCAGCACGGGGACCGGCATCAGCAGAGAAGTGAAGCCTTTGCGGGGAGAGGCAGGGGCGTGGCGCACCTGACGTTCCGTTGCGCTGCCGCGCTGTCGCTGCAGGGCCACGTGCCTGTTGTGAGGAAGAAGCGAAGTTGCCGCTGTTGCGAGGAAGACAAAAGGGTATCCGTGTTTGTATGGACTCCATTCCGGAGTTCGACGAAGAGATTGAGATGATCGGGAGCGAGGAGGAGCGACGGGTGGCCGTGGCGATGGGCGGCGGGGGGGGAGGTGCTGCGGGGATGGGCGGCGGGGGGAAAGGTCCTGGGGGGGTGGGAGGGGGAGCTGGCGCTGTGGGGATGGGGGCCGGAGGGGGCGCTGTGGGGATGGGCGCGGATGGGCTGGGGAAGGGGAAGGGGAAGATGAGTCCGAGTGATGAGGAGGCGGCATATAGGGCAACGTATGGCTCGCACTTTGATGCGGAATATGATGCTTCTGATAGTGGCTCGAGTGCCAACGGCTCAGATGCTTCTGGAGATGCAGCCGTGGCTGGTTGGGTTGAGAGGAGCAGGAATGGCAAGGGTGAGTGGCGCAGCGGTAACAGCGGAAACAGCAGGAGCAGCCGCAGCAACGAAACCACTGGTGGCAATGGTAGCGGCAGCGGCAACAATGGTAACGGCAGCAATGGCAGGGGCAGCAGCAGGAGGCACGGCAGGAGGGAGCAGCAGCGGAGCAGGCGGGCGGCTGAGATAACTGAAGTCCCGATCCCTGAGGACTACGAGGAGGAAGGGGCTGCTCCAAGCAACGAGGAGAGCGCTCCTTCAGGGGGTACGTCTCTGGTTACCCCTGGGGCTCCCCCGGGGGTGGCACCTCAGGGGAATGATCGACTGCAGCAGCAGCAGCAGCAGCAGCTGCAGAGGACGGTGTGGGAGCTTCGCTCAGGCGTTGCTCCTGCTGCTGCGGCTGCTGCTGCTGCTACTGCTGCCGCTGCTGCTGCGACGGCCACTGCTGCTGCGAATGGTACTGTTCGTGGTGGTGGGAGCTCCAGGAATCATCGCACCAAGTCTGATTCAGCTGCTCGTGGCAATGCCACCACTCGTGGTGGTTCTGCTGCTGCTGCTGCTGCTGCTGCTGCTGCTGCTAGCCCCCACCTCACTGCTGCAACCGCTCCCAACGCTGCTATCTCTCCTGCTGCTCCTCCATCCGCCCCAGCATCGTCTCTCCCTTCCCCCCCTCTTCCCTCCTCACCTCCTCTCGCCCCCAACGTCTCCCCCGCCTCCCCCACTCTCTGGTACACCCCGCTCTCTCCCATTCTCCCCGGTCCCCCCAATGGAACCCCCCAGCACCGCTCTAAACCCCGCAGCACCCCGTCCTCCTCCCCTTCCGACTCCACCTTCAGCACCCTCACCACGGGTAGCAAACCCAACTCCTCCCCTGTTCCCTCTTCGTCCCCCGCCTCCTCCTCCGCCTCCCCTCCGCCTGCTTCTATAGCCTCTTCCGCCCCTGGGGGCGGCCTCTGCCCGGGGATAGACGGCGGGATATGCAACTTGCGCATGTCGTCCCGCACGCATTTCCGCCTCATGCGTTGCATCTCGCTTGGCACCGTGCTGGCCGGCCTCGGATACCTCTCCTGGAAATGCTTCATAGTGGGGCGGAACATCACCCACGCTGGACCGGCCTGCCTGCTCTTCCTCTCCACCGAAATCCTCGTCTTCCTCTCTTCCTTCATGCTAGTCGTTGAGTTGTCCAAGCCGGCGAAAGAGAGGAAGGCGCTGAGTCTACCCCCCTCGGGGCCGTTTCCCCGGGTTGCGATTCTCATCTGCTGTTGTAGTGAGAAGATAGATGTGATTCAGGACACGGTTAAAGGGGCTATGAATCAGAATTACCCCGGCGAGAGGTACTCGGTGTGGGTGCTGGACGATGGGGGGGATGACGAGCTTAAAGCCTGGGTAGAAGCAGAAGCGATGGAGGGGTGGAGCGGAGGAGGCGGGGGAGGAGCTGCAGGAGGAGCAGGAGCAGCAGGAGGGGAAGTAGGAGGGGGGGAGCAGGATCAAAGCGAGCAGGGCCAGCTGCAGCGGCAGCAGCAGCTGATGGTGCTGCAGCAGCAGCAGGGTCGGCGGCTGTTCTACCTCCGTCGCCCCAAGAAGAAAGGCGTGCCTCACCACTTCAAAGCAGGGAACATCAACTACGGTCTTCACTTCGCGTGCGGGGAGTTTGTCGCAGTGTTGGATGCGGATATGATTCCGTCGCCCTTCTTCTTGTCGGCGCTGCTGCCGCATATTGTCGGGGAGGAGAAGGGCGACGTGGCATTCGTGCAGTGCCCGCAGTCGTTTTACAATATTGTGAAGGGAGACCCTCTGAACGACTCTTCGCAAGACTTTTACGATGTTCTGCTGCCCTACAGGTGTGTGTCTTTTGAGTCCGTGTGTTGAGTCTGTGACAAAAGGGCGATGTGAAGGGGAGGAGAAGGGGGACGTGGCATTCGTGCAGTGCCCGCAGTCGTTTTACAATATTGTGAAGGGGGGGGACCCTCTGAACGACTCTTCGCAAGATTTCTATGATGTGCTTCTGCCCTACAGGTATGAGTTCTGAGTCTGTGTGTTGAGTCAGTGTCGGGGAGGAGAAGGGAGATGTTGCGTTTGTGCAGTGCCCGCAATCGTTTTACAACATTGTCAAGGGGGATCCGCTGAATGATTCTTCGCAGGACTTTTACGATGTTCTGCTGCCCTACAGGTATGACATTTGTTCTGATCTGAACCGAAAAGGCGAGATATGACATTTCTTCAGTTCTCGCAGTCAGCACATTCCCGATTCTATTTTGCCATTCCTTCTTTTGCATTCATGACGTTACATGCCTCCCACCTGCGAACGATAGCGTTTCGGGGCTGTGGGACAGATTACAACTCCGTTTGCCCTGAATTTCTTTCTCTCCCCATTCCTGATTTCTTACCAGAGATGGCCGGGACAGTGCCCAGTGCGTGGGAACGGGAGTCATTTTTCGCGCTGCCCATCTGCAAGCGATCGGAGGGTTCACAGTGGGGTCTATCACAGAGGATTTCGACACTGCCATGACGCTGCATGCCAAGGGGTACAAGACGGCCTATGTCAACCAGGTGCGGTGATTGAGAGATGGGTGAGAGGCATGCTTGTGTTTTACAGAGGGGTCGATCACAGAAGATTTCGACACGGCCATGACGCTGCATGCCAGGGGTTACAAGACGGCCTATGTCAACCAGGTGAGGTGGAGGAGGAAGGATGCTACTACATGCTGGAGTGCAAGGGACGGGGCATGCTGGGATAGGCGGGTTCACAGTGGGGTTGATCACAGAGGGGTATGGATGGGTGCATCAAGAAGCACCAGTGGTGGGTGGGCCACGGGCAACCATCAGACTTCTCCGCCTCCCTGAACAAATCGCGTCTCTCATTCCCATTCCCACCCACCCCTGCTCTGACTTCTCCGCCTCCCCACTGTCTGTTGTCTGTTCACATGACAGCCAGGGCGCCAGGCCTGCTCTGACCTGCTTGACAGCTCCTGCAAGCAGGTCTGGCGCCCTGGAGTCTGGAGGGGTACATCGAGCAGCAGCAGCGGTGAGGTGAATGGACCACCGGCAGCCAACCTCATTCCCACCCCTGCTTATCATCGTTCTTGTTCTCTTTCTTTGTATGATATGATGCAACAGCGCCTGCAAGCAGGTCTGGCCCCCTGGAGCCTCGAGGGCTACATAAAGCAGCACCAGCGGTGGGTCACAGGCAGCCCACACACCCCTTCACTCCCACTGCATGTGCTTATAACGTAATGTATCCTTGTCTCTTCCCTCACAACAGCGCCTGCAAGCAGGTCTGGCGCCCTGGAGCTTGGAGGGGTACATCAAGCAGCACCAGCGGTGGGCCACAGGCAGCCTGCAGATCCTGTTACACCGTAACCCGCTTCTGCTCCGCGCACCCAAGTTCAGCCTCTACCGCCGCATCTCCTACTGGTATGCTGGTGAGTACCTCAGGCCCTTCCCGTGCTTGCTGTTCCGCTTGTGAGTCTCACATCCCTCCATCCCCACGTAGACCTGAGTGTTTATATAAGATACGCGATTTTTTAGATGTCTTTAAAGCTCTTCTTTAGCCTCTACCGCTGGTTCTGCTACTGGCAACTATTATTGAGGAGCCTCAAAGCCTAGCTTTAGCCTGTACAGCAGGAAATTCTACTGGTATCCTGGTGAATTTCAAAGCTTCACTTCACTCACATTCTTCCTCCGGCCATGTAGACTCACCTGCTTCAAACCCCGGCATGTTATCTCCTGCCTCTTCCCCCTTTCCACCAGGCGTACAGTACTACCTGAAAGTGATTGTCATCGTGATCCTTGTCCCACCTCAAATTTTCCCTGCTCCAATCTCCTATGTGTTTCCTCCGGTCCGGCCTCATCCCCCCTCGTTCCCCCCTCTCCCCGTTCAGTACTGCCTGAACGTGCTCGTCATCATGATTCCCAATTGCCCCTCTTAACCACGTTACGTAACGTCTGCAAAACCATACCTTCCCCCTTCTCCACCCCCCACCTCCCTTCCCACCAGGCGTACAGTACTATCTCAACGTGATCGTCATCATGATCCTCGTCCTACCTGTCCTCATCCTGGCCCTCGATCTCCGCATCATGCCGCCCGGCCCCATCTTCGAAACCACCCGCCTCTACATCATCCTCCTGGTCCCCTACGTCTTCACCTCACGCCTCCTCTGCCTCGGCCTCTTCTCCCGCCTCCCCAACGGCATGATGGTTCAGCTGCGGGGGGAGCAGGTCTGGTACTGGATGTCTTTTTTCAATTGCATGGCGATCCTTAAGTTTCTTTTTCCGTTCATTTCGAAGAAATTTGAGGCCACAGGCAGCACGAAGAAAAAGGCGCCGGCGGTGTGGGAGAGGCTGATGACTGTGTGGTTCCATGTGGGGTTTTGTGTGGCGGGGGTTGGCGCGGTGGCATGGCGATTTGCTACAGTGGACTTCCACGATTGCGGAATGGTATGCGCAAGGAAGCTAGGGAAGACGCTTTATTTGTTTGGTTGTTTTCCTGCTTGCATTCTCCCTCGGCCTTTTTGGCTGGGCTTGTTCTCTTGTGCTCTTTCCCTTGTTTCCATGAGGCATTATTGTTTCCCTTTCCTTTTTGTTCTAATTCTTTCTCGAGATTTGCACTGATTTCCTGCCCATTTGATTCTCTTGCAGCTTCTCAAGGTGACCTCCTGGGCGCCCTTCATCCTCTTTTCCGTGCAAAGCATGCTCGTGCCAATAATCCATGTCATCATGTCTCCAACACATCCTAAGGTGGAGGATCGAAAGAAGTATCTCAATTATGATGAGTATGGGGTGCCATATCTGAGGCCCGAGCAGCTGTTGCCAAAGCGTGATTACTGCGTGTTGCTTTTCAACATCATCCCTGCCATCTGGGCGTTGACCATAGGGTTCTACTTCTATGCGGCGATCACCAATTTCAGACCTGGCTTCTGCACCAAGAGCGGGTTCTTTGGGTATCCCAGGTTTTAGATAGCTTCCTTTATTTGTATCATGATCCGGATATGCTAGGTTCTTTGTTTGTGGTGTACTTCATCAATAAATATCGTTTTAAGCCCATTTTACAGAAGACTGAAACGAAGTGTCGCGTCAAAGTGTCGGCTTGACTGTACCTCACCTCACCGACCTCGGGTCCACCGTGGGTGTGGGCTAGTTGCGTCAACAATCGAGTTCGTCCGTATTCCAACAACCGACGGCTTAGGACGTGGGCCCAATCGACTTTGATCGGCTCTGATCGGTTCGGTTTTGGTCGGATCGGATTGCTTGTGATCGTTTTTCTCGCGCCGCCCGATCAGAGATGATTTTCCTCGAATGTTTCGTGCTCTTGCATGAAAACTGTCGGCCCATTACCTGGTAGTTGCATCCCAACTTTGGCGAGACGGACGAATCTCAGTATCGTGGTAATGTCGCCAACATCATGTCCCAACACTCAGTTCTCGCCGATCTGGGTGCATTCGCAAGGATTTTCGAGACCTCATGGCGAGTTGTGTTACATTTCGTGTAAATCGCCCAGGTCGCCGATCACATGCAATCAAGTGATTGGGGCTGATTCTGTCTGATCGGGTCTGATCGGGCTGTTTGAGGCGGTTGATTGAGTTGGCGCGATCAGCTGATCGCGATCAGCTGATTGCCCTGATTGCCTGAAATCTGCTTCCCGCCTTCCTCGAAGTTCTCGATCGCCTCTGATCGCGCCGATCAAAGTCGTTTGGGCCCACGTCCTTATTTGACCCTTGCCCGCAGGGTTAGGAATCACCGACGATGTGAGGCCGAAATCTTGAAACAGCCCAGCTGAATTTGGAATAAAATTTCACTGAAACTAGAAAATGCATTCTGAACAGCAACACGATAGTTCGTCATTCTTCGCAACAAGTTTTTACCCATTCGCCTGGCCCTGGTTACACGAATCCAACAGACCACCCGCGTCAGGGTAATTAGGGGCCAATTTCATCCCACCCGTCAGTCTATCCCCTTAGCAGCATGTGTACCTACGGCGACCCCACTGCGTGCCACCCACCCACCAACTTCGGTCCACAAATCGCATGTCGCGCAAAAGCTGACTCGACGAGGTAAAGCTTGTCGGTGCTGCTCCAATTCGGCGCGTAGCGCACTATACACGACCAGGTGTTATCCTCACAACCACTAACGTAACGGCAGTCCACGCGGCACGCGCAAATCTAGCCATATTTATGAGGCGCCAGGCTTCCAGTTAGATGCGAGGGAGAAGGTGTCTTATTTGGATCTTGGTTCTTCCATTCTTCTTGCATTTCTCGCGAATCTGCACGGCGTTCGGTTCGATCGACGCGATCTATTTCCTACCCTACATTGTTCTCACACGTTTTGGTCGACTCAACAAACGGATTCAATAGAAGCGTAGATCGTTACGGGACGCTAGACAATCAATCTTCTCATTTTCCGAACCTGAGCGGCGCGAGTCTGCGTAGCCGCGGCATGGCGGCGGGTCGCTCCTTAGCGCGTTCGAGCGTGCATATAACCGTTATACGACAATTAAATCTTAGAATACTCTTTACGAGCTCCTTAATTGCATCCTTGCTTTGCGTTCAACTTGCGTGCCGTGCTGACACGGACGCCGCTTGGGCCAGTGGTAGAACGACACGTGTAGGGAACAGCGGGAGACGGCTCGCGACGCCGCCGGCGAATGGGGTAACCAACTTCCAACCGACGCAGGCGACAGTGTGCAATTTCTCCCGCAGCGGGCAGTGGCTTTCGCGAAACAAGGCTCCCTACGGCGCCGATTGTCCTTTCCTCAAGGTATCGCGCCCATGCCGCGGTATTTGCTCCACATGCCGCGGTATTTGCGCCCATGCCGCGGTATTTGCGCCCATGCCGCGGCATTTGCGCCCATGCCGGGGTATTTGCGCCCATGCCGCGGTATTTGCGCCCACGCGCGGCAGTCTTTGTACCCATGCGGTACTAGCGCCACACACACCTCTCTCACGTTCCGCCCGCTACGTTTACCTTGACAACTCCCGCGTGTTGCTTCACCTTCTCATTTCACGAAAGCCTCACCTTCACCCTCTCCACACGAGAGATGGAGTCTGTCTCCTCCCAATCCAACCCCTCTCCCCCCTCCTCCCATCTACAACCCATCTCCCCGTCCCGTGCCCTAGTTTCAAGCCCCTCCTTGCCCATCTAGAACTGAACGAACTTCTCCTTGCCTCCTCCTCCTTAATACCGTTCCCCCCTCTCTTTCCTCCTTCTCCCCCTCCCTTCTTCCCCCGTCCTCTTCCCTTCATATCGCTCGTATCGGCGCGCATGTGGGGCCCGTGAAGTGTATGTTTTTTGAGAATTCTAAAAAATCGGCGCGCATGTGGGGCCCGTGAAGTGCATCATCAAGCCCAGGAACCGTCCCCTTCCCCTCTTCCCCCTATTCCCTTCCTCTCCCCTACCCCCTATTCCCTTCCTCGCCCCTTCCCCCATCCCCTTCCCCCCATATCGCTGGTATCGATGCGGCCGAACGTGGGCCCAGTGAAGTGCATCATCAAGCCCCGAAACCGTCCTTCTCCCCTCTTCCCCCTATTCCCTTCCTCTCCCCTCTTCCCCCTATTCCCTTCCTCTCCCCTCTTCCCCCTATTCCCTTCCTCTCCCCTACCCCCTATTCCCTTCCTCGCCCCTTCCCCCATCCCCTTCCCCCCATATCGCTGGTATCGATGCGGCCGAACGTGGGCCCAGTGAAGTGCATCATCAAGCCCCGAAACCGTCCTTCTCCCCTCTTCCCCCTATTCCCTTCCTCTCCCCTCTTCCCCCTATTCCCTTCCTCTCCCCTCTTCCCCCTATTCCCTTCCTCTCCCCTCTTCCCCCTATTCCCTTCCTCTCCCCTCTTCCCCCTATTCCCTTCCTCTCCCCTCTTCCCCCTATTCCCTTCCTCTCCCCTCTTCCCCCTATTCCCTTCCTCCCCCTCTCTCTCATCCCCTTCCCCCCATATCGCTGATATCGGCGCGGCAGAATGTGGGTCCAGTGAATTGCATCATCAAGCCCAGGAATCGCCCCAAGAACTGGCTGGTGAGAAATGGGTTGGGTACGGTGGGGCTGGGTATGGGTTTGTCCCATTTTGCAACGTCCAAGCTTGCTTCTGCCTCTTCTCCTCCGGTGAGCAAGTTTCGAGTCGACACAACCAGCCCAGGCGGGGACAACAGTCTGACCGGACAGCTGGGTGGTTAGGACAGAGGTGCCTTTGCTCCTTCATCTTTGCTCATTCATCCACTAAACCCTCCCCTCGCCCCTCCCTCCCCCTCCCCTCCCCCCCCCCTCCTCCCCCACCCCCCCCCTCCATCCCCTCTTCACCCCCCTCCCCCCCTCCCCTTCTCCCCTTTCCCCCCACCGCCATGATCCCCTCCCCCAGAACTACCGCTACAGACCCAAGAAGTGCGGGCAGCCATGGTTCTCCTTCGCTCCTCTGGCCTTCCTGCAACGAATGAGAAACACGTGAGCGGAGCTGAGTCGCCTTTTCAGTCGCTTAGAAAGCATGGCAGGTGGTGGTGGTGGGGGGGGAAGGGGGGGAGAAGGTCAGAGTTGCGGCTAATCCAGGGATAGTTGGACTTAGAGCAAATCAGTAATAAGTCTTAGGTTAACGGGGAGGTGTACACTGCCGACGACTGAATGTAACACGGATTTCATCTGGCAAATGTCTTTTTATTTAATTAATTTTACTTCTTTACCTGGCAGGGTGTTTGCTTCAGTGGGCGACTCTCTCTCTGTCAGCAATCTCATGCCGTCTCTACTTTGTCAGGTGAGCTTTGAGTCGACTCAAAAATCTCATGCCGTCTCTACTTTGTCAGGTGAGCTTTGAGTCGACTCAAAAATCTCATGCCGTCTCTACTTTGTCAGGTGAGCAACTATTGCTGTTGCTGCCCTTTGGTCATTACTTCAACACGCATTAATGATGGGAGAATGCGTTTTTCCTTTTGCTGTTGCTGGTGCACATTCAGCACAGAACTCGCTCGCCCTCTCCCTCCACCTCCCCCCTCCCCACCTTTGTTTCACTGTCTCTCTAGGTAGCCCAGTTGCCTCATCAGTGCCTCATCAGTGCCTCATCATTGCCTCATTCATCAGTCAACCTCCCTCTTTTCTGCGCTTTATACTACTTCGCTTTGATTTTATTTCTATGCTGTATGCAGCTACATCAAGTCTCACCTGGGGACCGAGATTCCTAACCGCGTCATGTACGCAGCGCAAGGCCCGCTCACTAACGTCTGCCACCTGCGGTTGTTTGTTCGCTTGTGTTTTACCTCTTCCCTTTCGTTTCCTGTGCGTTTTGCAGCTACACCAAGTATCTCCTGTGACCGAGGTTCCTAACGACGGCACATATGCAAAGCAAGGCCCACTCACTAAAGTGTACCAAGTCAAAGCGTACAACGTTACCTTGGTCAACACATGGAGCACGTTTCTCAACGAGTACTGGCAAGACGAACAGGTGAGCCGTTTTTTTCATCCCATTCGTAAGGCAATTCACTCTTCCGACCCAAGTCAGCTCACCACTGCTCCCTCTCCTGCTCCCTCTCCTGCTCCCTCTCCTGCTCCCTCTCCTGCTCCCTCTCCTGCTCCCTCTCCTGCTCCCTCTCCTGCTCCCTCTCCTGCTCCCTCTCCTGCTCCCTCTCCTGCTCTCTCTCCCCAGACAATCCAACAGTACAATGGAGGCGTTCTTTCAACCGACGAGGATTCGGTGGTGAACCTAGATGGGCTTGATGCGCAGTGGGTGATTGTGGGAAGTTTCAAGCTGAATGCTGCCGCACACCCTATGCCCCCCTTATGTTCTCTCCCTCCCTCCCAGACGGTTCGACAATACATTGGAGTCGTTGCCTTAACAGATGAGGATTCAGTGGTGAATCTAGATGGGCTCGATGCGCAGTGGGCGGCTTATATCGAGCGGTACGACGTGCTTATATTGCAGACGCAGGCGCACTGGCAGGCCACCAAGTACAAGTGGCGGCGGTTCTGGGTGAACAGTACCGGGGATCAAATCTTCAACGAGTCTAGGTTCCTTGCTGCTTTTGAGTAAGTGTGGTGCTTTTTTGTTTTCTGCTCTTTGTGTTTGTGCTGGGCCATTTCCTGACTAAGTGTCAATATGTTTCCAGGTATGGCATGGAAGCCATCAAGAACCTTCTTGACCAACCAGAGGCGCCGGTCACTTATTTTATTTCTGCCCCGGCAAGATTGGATGGATGCAAGGCGTTGAAGGCACCGTATACAGATGCACAGGTATTTCATAATGCTACATCTATGTGCTTCACAGGTGCAATGCATTCATGCTTCCTATACATGAATCATCATTCGGACGCATTCTAACCCTTGTCAATCCTCTACCTGCCCTTCATGCTGTTGCTTTCCAATGAGCACATGCAGGTTGCGACCATTCGCAATAATAATCGTCAGTTTATTGCTTGGTTGCCAGCACAGAAAAAGGCATTCAATGGCACTCGGATACGAGTGATAGATGTCACAACATCGTCCCTTTATAGGCCTGATGCCTTTGTTGGATCAGGGGGAGTGAATAAGGATTGTTTACACTGGTGCCTTCCCGGCGTTCCTGATTGGTGGGTTGCTATGGTCAATCACTTATTGGCCAATGAGCCCATGCTGGCAGCATAGTTTGTACTGAATGGAGATAAAGCGAAATGTGCTGTTTTCTGTTTAAGTTGCAAGCAGCACGGCAAATGATAAAAATACACTACTCGCTGTAGTTCGAATAACGAGTCTGCTGTTTGCGCGTCGTACTTTCTCTTCATTGATGGTCAATCTAGCGCCGTCGTGCGCCCAAATCGCCCCTTTCTCTCACGAGAAAATCTGAAAAAGCAGCATGAGGATCGCATGTGCGTCGTTTTTCCCCCATCATCTACAATTCGCAATCCTACGCAAGGCTTTTTCCTGTCGTCACCGTAGTTTGCGGGCAAGGCAAAGCCAGAACCTGATGGTTCCGTCGTCCAATCGCTTGTCGCGATAACCTCGGTCAGTTCAAAGATTGACTCAGCAGCAGTAACTTCTGGCGCCATCCAATCAGGTCGAACCGCTCATAGTATCTTGATAATGGTGGTAACTGCTCGACACTTGTCAGACGAGTCACCAAACACACAGTCTCAGCTCGCAAATAGTGCTCAACTGAGTTCTGAGACGTCTCAAGCTCGCAAATAGTACTAAGCTGTTAAACATATTTGACTGAACAATGCCGGTCGCCGGACTGCTATGAGCTTTCGGTCTTCCCAGAGTTTCGTCACCTAGTAACCGAGGCTCGCGAATGGCGACTGCTCGTCGCCCAACCGTCCATCCAGAGTCGCACGTCAAACTACTTCGTTCCTCGACGCTTCATTCCCTAAAAGGTCATCGTCCTCTAACGAATCCTCTCCTAACGAATCGTCCCCTAGTAACGCATCGTTCCCTAACGCATCATTCACTAACGCAGCACAATCATGCTTCCGCTTTCCTTAGTACCGCCGCTGCACTCCTGATTCTAGCGCTTTTGGTAGCTTCCTTGCCCCTATCGAGTCAAGCCGGCACCCTCGAGAAAGTGACCACAGCGAGGGTGGCTAAAAATAACATGATTACAGCGAGGGCGACTCGGAAGAAGGTGATTACATCGAGGTGCAACTACACCGTCGGGGGATGGCTGCCCGTGACTCCCGCCATGCAGCACGGCGCGTATCGCGCCGACTGCCCCTTCCTCAAGGTGCGCATTCCGTCCCCCGGTTCCCCCGCAGCGGAAGTTCCCCGCAGCGGAAGTTACATCGCAGCGGAAGTTACCCTCTAGTGACTCCCGCCATGCAGCACGGCGCGTATCGCGCCGACTGCCCTTTCCTGAAGGTGCGCCGAGTTTCGCGCTGCCACCCCCCTTAGGAACGAAAGTTTCTGTTTTTTTTTTTATTCTCAAAAAACGTTTCGCGCTACCAGAGACCCCTCTTGGGGAACGGAGGTTCCTCATCTGTCAGCCATTAGATTTCCCTCTGACTCGGAAGCTCCTTTCCTCCGGGCACCACATGTTGCAAGGTCCGCGCCCATTCCCCTCGCGCATACCTCGCGCCCATTCCCTGCGCCCATTCCCCTCGCCCGTACCTCGCGCCCATTTCCCACGGCCATTCCCCGAGCCTTTTCCCTTCCTCGCCTATACCCCTCGCCCACCCGCGCCCATTCCCCGCGCCCATTCCCCGCGTCACTTCCCCTTTCGCATGATTCCTTCGCTCTTTTCTGTGCCACTTCCCTCGCTCATTCCGTCATTTGCCCGCACCACTTCCCTTTTTTTCCTGCAGGGCATTGGTCCTGTGAGCTGCTTATCCAACGAGTACAATCCTCGCCCCACCCCCCTTCCCCACCCTCCTTCCCCATCCTCCTTCCTTTTCATTTTCTTCCTGCAGGGCATTGGTCCTGTGAGCTGCTTATCCAACAAGCACAAGCGCCCGTTCCCCTGGCTGGTGGGTTTTGGACATCCTCGTTACTACCTAAACTTATAAATACTTCCAAGCCGACTGGTGTAGAAGCGGTCGAAGGGAATGCATGTGACGATGCATTGGCCAAATTAGTAAGTGCTTCTATAGCGAGTACAGCAGCTGTTTGATAACGAGCCCAAGCGCCCCTGCTACTAGTGGCTGGTGCGTTGGCAAGGGACCTGTTTGTAAGTAATCCGCTAAGAGTGTGTGACATCATTTGTAGAAATTCAGCCTGGCGTTATGTTTCTTTTTCTTTTCAGAGGTACCGCCGCTGACAGCCAACAGGGTGCCTCACGCCCCTCTTCCTCCTTATGGCTCCACGTATCTCCTCTTCCATTTTTCTTTAATCTCCTCCTCTCCCGCCCTCCCCATCACCGCAGAGGTTTCTCCTTATGGCAGCCCACAGGGTGCCTCACGCCGCTCCTTTTCCTCCTTGAACTCCGTGTTGGGTTTTGAGAATTCTCAAACACCACTCCGTGTTTGTTTTTGAGACGTCTCAAACACCACTCCGTGTCTCGTTTTGAGACGTCTCAAAAAACACCCTCTCTACACGTGGCAAAAACCTCTCCGTGCCTCTCCTCCGCTCACCCTCCTTCTCCCGCTCTCTCTCTTCCCTTGCCCATCTTCCCAACTACCATCCTCCCCTCCCCATCGCCTCAGAGGTACCGCTGGCAGCCCACAGGGTGCCTCACGCCGCTCTTCTTTCGCCCCCGACAATTCTTGAAGCTCATGAGGAACAAGTAGGTGTATGAATGGGTGGAAGGGAGTGGAGAGAACCGGAGAAAGTGAGTCAGCAAGCCTTGAGGGTGCCGCGCGCCGCTCTTCTTTCGCCCCCGACAATTCTTGATGCTCATGAGGAACAAGTAGGGAGCGCGGGTCAATATGGGGCAAGGGAAAAGGGTAGTGAGAGGGAATCAGGGACGATCAGGGGAGGGGGGGGATGGGGAGGCGGGTGGGAGTAATGGTGCGGAGGAATGCTTGGTTCCGATTGGTCGAGTCCCGAGCCTTGTTTGCTCCCGTCCCCTGATGTTCTCATTTTCCTTGTTCTTTCCGTTGTTTGCTCCTGATTGGGGCACACATCTTCTTGCCTTGGTCTTTCTCCCGAACTTTCCTGTCCCAGTCAGTACAGCAACCCCCCCATCCACCCCTATCCGCCCCTATCCACCCCTCTCCACCCCTATCCACCCCTATCCACACCTATCCACCCCTATCCATCCCTATCCACCCCTATGCTGTGTACTCACTCCTCTCGTCTGCCCAACACCCCACCCTTCTATCGTTCTTGCTCAGAGTGTTTGCATCAGCGGGCGATTCCCTCTCCTACTTCAATTTCATTCCATCGCTGCTTTGCCAGGTACTTTCCTTCTAAGCGCCAGGTACTTCTCTTCTAAGTGCCTGGTACTTTCCTTCTAAGCGCCAGGTACTTCTCTTCTAAGTGCCTGGTACTTTCCTTCTAAGCGCCAGGTACTTCTCTTCTAAGTGCCTGGTACTTTCCTTCTAAGCGCCAGGTACTTCTCTTCTAAGTGCCTGGTACTTTCCTTCTAAGCGCCAGGTACTTCTCTTCTAAGTGCCTGGTACTTTCCTTCTAAGCGCCAGGTACTTCTCTTCTAAGTGCCTGGTACTTTCCTTCTAAGCGCCAGGTACTTCTCTTCTAAGTGCCTGGTACTTTCCTTCTAAGCGCCAGGTACTTCTCTTCTAAGTGCCAGGTACTTTCCTTCATGTGCCACATGCTCCCCGCCTCCCTCCCCCTCCTCTCCCCCCGCTCCCCCTCCCTTCCCCCCTCCCTCCCTCCCTCCCTTTTTGCCAGGTACTTACATTGGAGGTGCCACATACTTTCCCCCTCTTCGTCCTACCCCTGATGGCAGTTGCGCCAGGGATACCCCGTGAATCATACTCTTGCATCCACTCAATTTTCACCTCAAACCACCTCCCTCCCCCTCCCTCCCCCTCCTTCCCCCCTCCCTCCCCCTCCCTCCACTCCAACTCCGGCCCCTCCCCTCATTCCCTTCTGATTTTAGTTGCACCAAGCCTCCCTACTGCATCACATTCTTGCATATGCTTCCCCTCTCTTTCTCCCACCTCCTCCAATTCCATTACTCCTGATGGCAGTTGCACCAAGCCTTCCCACTGCATCGCATTCCAGTTCTCCCCTCTTCTTGCTCCCCACACGAGCCTAGTATACCACGTGCCAGAATGCGTGAAGCATAACCCACCCACATAGATGACTTTTGAGTCGACTCAAAAGTCGCCTGGTTTACCACGTGCCACAATGCGTGAAGCACAACCTCCCACCTTTCGTTGCCCCTGCCCAACCCTTATTCTCCTTCCCCCCTCTCTGTTGTTCTCCTCTCCCTATCTCCCCACCTTTACTTGGTAGTTCCATCAGGCCTCCCCAGTGCATAGCATTCCAGTCCCTCCCCGTCTCGCTCCCCACACCAGCCTAGTCTACCACGAGTCAGGAAACTGGAAGCACAACCGTCCACCCTTCCCCTATCTATCCCAACCCATCCCATCTTCTTCTCCTCTCCCCCTCTCTGATGTTCTCCTCTCCCTCCCCGCCTGCCTTTCAATGGCAGATACACCAAGCCTCCCCAGTGCGTAGCATTCCAGTCCCTCCCCGTCTCGCCCCCCGCACCAGCCTTGTCTACCACGTGCCACAATACAACGTGACTATAGTGAACACCTGGAGCACTTTCCTCAACCAGTGCTGGCAGGACAAACAAACCCTTGCTTTATACAATCACGGCCGCCCGGTCACACCAGAGGATTCGGTGGTGAATATGGAGGGCGTGGACTGGCGGTGGGGTCGATACTTAGCTAAGTACGACGTGCTTCTGCTGCAGTCGGCAGCGCACTGGCAGCCGAAACGCACCAGGTGGCGCCGGTTCTTTACAGACAGACGCGGGAGAATAGCTTATAACGAGTCGCGCTTCTATCACGCGTTTTGGTAAGGTGACTACTGTGCCCGTATGCCTCTCAGGCCCGGCACAGTGTATCTTACAAGTTAAGACCCAGATTTTGATTATGTTCAGGTATTTACACCCACATAATGAGGAGTTTCCATTCTTTGTCCCTCACAGGGCTGGCATGCAGAGTGTAAAGAAGCTGGTGGATCGTGCCAATGACAAGGTGACACGTGGCAGCAGCAGCGGCAGCAACAACAGCAGAGGCAGTAGCAGTGTTGGTGGTTCTGCTGCTGGTGGTAACAAGTGGCCTGTGGTGTTCTTTCTCTCTGCTCCCACAAAGCAAAGCGGTTGTGCTGCTTCTTTTGAGCCTCGCACCGAGGGAGAGGTGAGATATGGGGCATGAAGCAAAAGTCAGGGGGAAGTGGTGTGAGTGTAAGAGAGACACTGGCTAGACTCTTCTCTCACTCTCTGCTCTCACAAATGGGAGTGGCTGTGCTGCTTCTATCCATCCCTGGTTGCTCTCTTCATTCGCTGTTTCTCGTCTCTCTCAGAAAATAACGAACAGTGTTCATAACTTTGACACCACATCATCTGCTCCCCTACACCATCACTTCTTAACCCCACAAGTTTCTTTTTATCCTCCCCCCCCCCACCCCCACTCCCACCCTCTCCCCGCTCTCTCCCTCTTTTTATATTCCAACAATCTCTCTCCCCGTTTTCGCCCTCAGCCCTCTCCCTTATCATCCCCCCTTTCCCTCCCCCCTCCCCCCCCCCGCACAAACCTTTCCGAGTTCCTACTCCAGGCTTTCCTTTACCGACAGCGTAACCCACAGACGTCCAAGTGGCTGCCTCTCCAACGCAAAATCTTTGCAGAGTCTCACATACGCCTTATAGACGTGACCTCCGCGTCAGTATACCGTCCAGACGCGTTTGTCGGGTCAGGTGGGGTAAATAAAGATTGTGTGCACTGGTGCCTCCCGGGTGTTCCAGACACGTGGGTTGCAATGGTGCTTGGAGCCATGCTTCAAGAGAGGCGATTGGTCGAATCTATGGGACAAATAAGTCCTCCAGGTGTAGGTGGTGGTCTAGGAGTGGGTAAAGAATTTCCTTATAAAGTGGGTGATAAAGTTCCTGGTGAGGTGGTGAGGATGGAAGAGGGGAAGAGAAGGACAGAAAATGGGGATGGGGTGTTGGAACTAATTGCTCGGAAAAGGGAGAGCATGTTCTTCCATTTTCATAAGCACAAAACACACTCCTAAATTGCTTACCATCCAATGTCAGGATGTTATCTCCAAAATATGTTATCTCATCCCAATGCAGAATGTTTTGTCGGTATTTTGATAAGCATCTGTAATATTAATAGCTGTACTCTCTCATGGTTTGTAGCCACCCGACTGCGAAATACCTGTACATGCAGAGTTTTAACAAACAGCGTCGTCCACAGCAGCTCCGCCCACAGTCCCGCTGGGCCTTGGCGAGATGTGTCCACTCCACGGTGTTTCTATTCTGCAGAGCACATGTTTGGGCAGGAGTTGGTCAGTTTGGAAAACAGGTGTACACCTGGTGTAGATGCGCTGTTTGGTTGGACATGGGCTGCCGGACGCATACAGATTGAGAAACACGTCTTCGGTTGGGCTGTCGCTGGGTACACATGATGCCCAACCACTGCGCGCGAATTTGCCTTGGCCGTTTCAGAAACTCTGCACCCGTGTTTTTTTTCCCAGTCAGTTGCACCCAGGTTATAGGCACGCGGATCAACTTGCATTTGGGCGAGAAAACGTCGTAGTATGAATCCTAAACCCTGAACTAACAACAACACAGGCCCACCAGAACTGTTTTGGAAAAAACAAATGAGTTACAACCTGTGTTTTTTAGAAGCACCTCAACACCCTGGCGAAATGGAACGAACTTTGCGAAATTATCAAAACGTTTATAAGCACAGATCACATCCCAAGTAGGGGAGACTCAAACGGGCATCAGTTGTAGCCGTCCTTGAGGCCACTGGGCAGGTCGTCAGCTGGTACAGCTGGCTGGCTGGCTCGTTGGTTCTTGTTACACACCACCCTGTCAGTGGAATTTTAGGCCGCGGTTTTTTTCGCATGGAATTTGGCCGTCCTGTACAACTGTTCTTGTTCACCCACCTCATACAAAAGGCACAAATAGCAACGCGGCTGAACGGGAATTTTAACAGGCGCACATGACCCACAAATTTTATGCGACACCCTGAAAGTTAGACTACAAATTAACAGTCGATCGATTTTATCCACTAAGCACTGTATCTTAGATTGCTACCACACTGCGACCCACACATTCAATAGGCATATGATGGGGATGTGGAATGATTTGACTGAATGCACTGTACAGTCCAAGCTGTGCAGATTCAAAACAGCAGCAGAAATTCGGCGAGAAAGTTTGGAGAAAAGCATGGAACAAACAGTGTGTGACATGAAACAAACAATGTGTAACAAGTCCTAGTCAAGTCTCAGAACGTCCCTAGGAAATGTTTAAATTTCTGGTTGGGAGGCGACTGGTTGGGAAACACCTTAGTCTGCTTCTTGTGGGTATTTCTGAAAAAAAAAAGTTTCGTGAACGGAATTCCGGGTGCACGGTGAGGAATCAGGATGCCTCGTTTGACTCGGCCACGAGAGGTCGTTTCTCTCATTCACCACCACACCCGACCCGACCCCACCGAAAGAATGTACAGACGAACTCACGTTACAGTGAACGAAAACCGCGTGGGGTTTGATCATACGCGACGACGAAGCCCACCAAAGGCAGCATCACTCTTCGCCAACGCAGCGTCGCATCGCACGTCACAGCATCGCCCGCGGGTTCAGTCGTCGCGTGCGCAACAGTCGTCCAATTTTCTGAAACCTCAGGGGAGTCCTCGACAAAGAAGCCAGCTAGCGTGTACAGTTTGATGCCCATACAGCTGAATCACTCGACTTACAGTACACCGGCTGATAATTTCCACTGTGGACGGGACTCTGTTGATCTTGCTGTTCTCGGTTTTTTAGAGATGGTTCTCCTTTAATTTAGAGGTTTGGAATGTATGAAATGTATGAAATGCGGTCCTAACACACAATACACAATCAATATGTAACATCCAAGCACTACGGTAATCGTAGCTTGGGTCTGACACAGCTCAGAGCCGATTGCCACTTCAGCTTCTCTGGTCATTGTACTATTTCTCCCCGTTTTGAGCCCACTTCGGGTCTTCGGAGGGCCAAACTTCGTGTCGTCGAGCCTGACTTGAGGTGTTAGGTTGCAGTAGCACACTTGAAGGGTGATTACTCCTCGACAAAGCGAGGTGAGGATGGTGGTGGTGCGTCTTGACACGATGTGTAAAAAACTGCGACTGAGGAATTCTGTACAGTTCTACGCACCATGGCACTACAACCTGTTCTCCGATATTTCCACACCCTGAACTTTGATTCTTCCCAGACACCCTACATGGTTGAAGGTTTGATGAGACGGACGCTCTGACATTGCGGATCTATAAGAAAATAACCACCAGGTCAAGGCCTTTCGAAACTCGAACTTTGTAGTTCGAGTGAGCGGGGAAAATTCCAGTGCCAGATTGTTCCTGCGTTAAGCTCGCATTGAGATTGTGTTACATTAACCCTGAAAATTCTTTGAGCGTTGCTAACTACCTTCGAAATCGGTTGTTTCGAGGTAGGTACCCCAGGTCGTGACGATAAAGGGTGTGGAAATATCGGAGAAGAGGTGTACACCTAAAATCCATACGCCAGCATGTAAGCACAGTATTTCTTCCTTCAAGCTCAATAAGTGGCCCACTCCTGCCTGTCCTTTCACTCCTCCATCCAAGCGCTCCTTCCGTTTCAAGCAATATTGCCATTTCGAGGCTCCTGCAAGTTTTAGCAGAGGGTTTCCACATCCTTCACAAGTTGTGACCTTTAGATTTGTCAAGAGTTTATTTGACACTGACCTAGTATCAGCCCACTGACCACTCGACTACGTCAAATTCGTAGCTCTCAACATTCCGCGGAGGTATATTGGGTTAGGAGCCACTTCCCAGTCCGATCAATAAATTCGCATAACTAATCACAACTATACCACTTCTTGGCATGGGAACTTTAAGCGGACTTGGAGGCGGTGCAGATGCTTGGGCACCAGATTCGTCGTGTCCCTCCTTCGCTGGCAGAAGGTCTCTAGTCGTTTTCGCTGGCAAAAGGTCTCTCATAAATGGCTCTGCCAACGGACTGTGAAGAGGTGAGAACGGGGAATCTTCTGCTTGACCCTGGAGATGAAAGATGCCGTCAACCTGGAAGTTACTACTACTAGTAGTACTTCACTAGAGGCTGTTCTCCCATGATCTTCCCACCAGGATTCATGTTGAGTGTGCGCAAAAGCTGCGTACTCAGCGTTACCCACTCTACTAGCAGGATACCTCCCCCCTCCGCCCAGCATCTACCTCACGTGTGTGTGCAAGGCCGTTCAAATGAGGCGACCGGAAAACACCGAATCGCCTCCCACTTTTCTACGCTCCCATGACCCCCCTCCCCTCTCTCCCCCTCCCCTCCCCCCGCCTCTCTCTCTCCCCCCCTCCCAGGACCTGCTTCTCGTGTGTGCGCAAGGCCGTATAGATACAGAGAATGACTCCCTCTCTACTGCTCCCATGCTCCCCCCTCCTCCCCCTCCTGGATCTGCTTCACGTGTGTGCGCAAGGCTGTAAAAATACAGAGAATGACTTTCTTTTTACGTCTCCCATGCTCCCCCCTCCCCCCTCCCCCTCCTCCTCCCAGGATCTGATTCAAGTGTTTGCGCAAGGCCGTAAAATTACAGAAAATGACTCCCTCTCTACTGCTCCCATACTCCCCCCTCCTTTCCCTCCTTCTCTCCCTCCCATCAGGATCTACGTCACGTGTGTGTGTGTGTGTGTGCAAGGCCGTCACGGGACGCACACTCACTAGCTTGCGTGTCATCCCTTATGTCTACCTCTCTCCCATGATTCCCTGGCCCCCTCCCAGGATCTACTTCACGTGTGTGTGCAAGGACAAATCGACTCAACAATCCACTCTCCCTTGACCCCCTTCCCTGTCCCCCCTCCCTCCATTAACCAGGATCTACTTCACGTGTGTGTGCAAGGCCGTCACGGGATGCACGGCGCGGAAGGTGGAGGACCGCATGCCCGGCCCGCCTCGCGGCAAGCACACCGCGCCACCCACCGCCGCCACTGCTGTGGTAAATGTCGCTGATGTTGCTGGTTATGTACCGGCCTTTGCTTTGGACGATGAAGAATGCTCCACTCGCCCCAAGCGTGTGGAGATGTGCAAGAAGGAAGCTTTTCATTCATCTGCCCGCGTGGGGATGGAAGATCTCCCTTCATCTGCCTGCACGGAGATGCGTACAGTGGTGCGGCTGACGACCTCGGGGTTCCACAACCACCCTTCCTCTCTGTGTCTCAAGCGCCGCCGCCGCAGAGACTCCACGGAAGGAAGCACCGCAGCTGCTGCTTCAAAAGAGGAGAAGAGCAACAATGAACCCCTCTCTGGCCTCTGGACGCCTCACGCCGACCCAGCGAGTCATGCGCCGACTTCGAAACGCCACCTAGAAAATCCTTCCAAGGCATCGCGGACTGGACAGTTCAAGCCAATCCCTCCATGGATTTCCGACGTGCCATCCCACAGGTCCGGAAAAACTATGGGCGCTTCTAGTGAAGCAGCCACTGGCCTTATCCCGTCCTATGGCATCGGCTCTCTTGTTCAAGTTGAACCCAAGGAGGCTCTCACTTCCCCTGCGCCTGCAGTCCTCTCGCAGAGGAGTTGTGTCTCAACGCCGCGGCAGAGGGCGTTCAGAAGCGTGTGTGAGCAGATCATGGCGCTTAGCAAAGAGCCAGCTGAGATGAGATACGAGCCTCCAAAGCGGCAGCGGGCAACCCGTGTGGAATCTGAGCCGGATGGTCAAGGGGAGAGCCCCCGCACCAGCTGCTGCCACGTGGGGCCCTTACCTGCTGTTGGCCGTGCTGCATCTGCTCCTCAGTTCCTAACAGCAACCCGCGCCACTCAAGGAGTCCAACAGAGCAACCCCGGACCGCCACAGTGCTTTCCGAACCAGTTCCTGAGCCCGGCAGGTCCGGCGGGCCCAACTGGCTGGTCAGGGCCAGGAGAACTGGCAGAACCTGCAGGTGTGGCAGCTTCAGCCTTCCCTACACACCCAGCAGGGCAAACAGCCCCGGCAGCCTTGGTAGCTGCTCGTCCGCACGACTGGAAGATTTCAGCCCATACTAAGGCTGTCGAAAGCAGAAACTGTGAGGTTGCGATGCTGCTGGGGGAGCTTCTGACACCGGCTGAATTGGATGTCGTTCTCTCAAGGATGGCCCAAAGGCTAGGGCCGCCAGAGAAAGGGGCCCCGCAGCATGACGGCGTGGACGACAGGAGCAGTGCCTGCGTGCATACGTCGCGAGGTGTTGGCGTCTGCATGAGCAGCAGCAGCAGCTTCGGTGGTGTTCCAGGCATGGGAGGCCAGGATCTCGCTGCAGTTGCCAGTGCTGCTGGTGGTGATGGTGGTGCTGGTGGTGCTGGTGATACTGCAGCTTCAGTACCTGCAGCCGCGGTCAATGCTTCGGCCTCGGTGGTGACAGCAATCGTAGATTCCCACAGTCCTGCTCCTGCTTCTGCTGCTGCTGCTGCTGCTGCTGCTGCTGCTGCTGCTGCTGCTGCTGCTGCTGCTGCTGCTGCTGCTGCTGCTGCTGCTGCTGCTGCTGCTGCTGCTGCTGCTGCTGCTGCTGCTGCTGCGGCTGCGGCTGCTATGCCCAACTCAGCAGAGGTGCTGCATGCGCTAGGTGCATGCAAGGGCACTGACTTTTCTTCTCAGACTCAAGTAGCAGTTTCACCACTACCAGAACCCCTGCCATGTGCACCTGCTCCTACTGTTGATGCCTGTACTGCTGCCGCTGCGATAGTTGCTGCTTCAGCTGCCGCTGTTACGGTTGGTCGTGACTCCACAATCAATAGGTCCGTGTCTGCCTTATTGAGCACCAAGGAAGCTGCCCCCCTGGATTCATTGTCCAGCATCAGCAACGAGGTAAGCAACGCTTCTTTGCCTCTGATTTTCCTGCTTACTTTGCCCCCCCCCCCCCTTTTTTTTTTCTTGTTGATTTGTGTGTTCTAGCGATGTCTCGCTTCTAAAGTTTGACACCCTGTTCCCTCCTGTGCTATTCTTTGATTGCAGATTATGCAACGTGTACTCACAGCACTGGCTAACTCGACAAATCGTACTCTGACCTATCCTACCCAAACTCATAACTCCCTGACAAACCGTGTCCCGATCTATCATGCCACAACCCAGCGGGGTCTATCCCATTCATCGCCATGCCAGCACGTCCCATCGCATCACACCTCCTCCCACCCCACACCATCCTGTAACACCGCGGACCATCGTGCCCCTCAAGCTGCAGCTCGTTCGGTGCACACAAGTGTGGATTTGGTGCCGGCAAGATCACCAGTACTGTCATCTACACTGGTGCTGCCAGCAGGACCACTGCTACAGTCACCTGCAGATATATTGTCAGAAAGACCACCAATAAAGCCACCTGCATGGGTGCTGCCAGCAGGATCACCTGTGCAGCCACCTTTGTCAGTTTCACATGTGGAAATGCTTCAGTCCCTCACCCTGGACCAGCCACAAGCAATGGACTTGCTTCTATTGCAATTGGCGGCAGAAATTCATGCATCAAGCCTTGTTTTGTCACCAACAGCAGCACCAATAGCAGCAGGTGCAGCAGCACGAGAAACAGCAGCACCACCAGCATCAGGAGCAGCAGTAGCAGCAGCATCAACCGTAGCAGCAGCAGTGACAGCAGCAGTACCACCAGCATCACCATTCGCAGCAGCAGCAGCAACTGCGACAGCAGCAGCACCACCACCAGCACCACGACCGCCAGCAGAAGCAACAACAGCAACAGCAGCAGATAAACCAATGTATTTTCCTGCACAAACTCATGCCACGATGCATGTCCCAAGCCTGGTCGCAGCAGCACCAGGAGCCACCGCAATGCAGCTCCCACTACAGTCACAAATGCAGGCCCGACAACACATGCTATCCGCTACAATCACATCTGCTCAGACATTCTTGCAGCAAAAGGACAGCACGTGGGAAGGTCAGATGTGTGGCCAGATTGCCATGGGTGGTGCTCAGATTGGCAGGTGTGACGGTCAGGCAACCATGGGGGATGGTCAGATTGCTATGGAGTCCTTCTGGGGACAGCAGCAGGCTGGAGAAAAGGGACTCGTGCCGCCAGCCATGGGCAGCGTTCCAGAGGACGGGAAGGCGCTGGAGAGTTTTGACAGATTACTCGAGTCAATGTCCTTCCATGGCAATGATCTACCCGAGTGGTCCGCACTTGCACAACCTCTAGATGGATATTGGTTGGAGAATGCGGCTTTGATTGACTTGAGTTGATGTGGAGAGGTGTGGTGACAAGCGGTGTATGTGTGCAATACTTAGCTAATAAGCGGTGGAAACGCCAACACATTATAATCAAATATTAGTTGATTATAACGTTTTGTTAAGGCTTTTGTGTCGCTTTATCATGCCTCTTATCAGTGGTGCAAGACATTTTATGAATTTAGACCCAACTATCATGCTGTAAAGTTAAAGCCCTGCAGGAGGGAAGGGCTTGTTGTCAGGTTTGTGGTTCGGTCCATGCGTGCCGTAAGGGGTCGAGAGTGGTGCGGGTGAAATTCCGATTTGCTCCATGAGTGTTTCGACGCATTGAAGCGGAGAGGTGAATTGCTTCAAGGGTGTAGGAGATGTTGAACTGTAAAAATTGTGTCACTGTACGACATCAAGCAGGCGCCTCAACTGTGGCACAATCACCTAAATAAAATCTTGCCTGGCATCAGCTTCACTCAGGTATTGCATAAATGTAGGACGTACCACTTACACTTTTGCTGATATTACAACAGAACGAGCAAATCCTTGCTCGTCATGCACCCTGGAATTCCCTTCGTCGTAGGTATGCAGCTGCTCTACACCGATTACAGCGTCGATGCGTACTGGAACACATTCTTCACATCGATCTGTCGGGGTGGGAGGTGCTTGGCAGCGGCGATGGCGAGTAGAATTCGGACGGAGGTATGACGGCTCGGGGCGAATGTTAGATCGAAATGAATCTTGTGGCATTTGTCGTGACCGTGCACGAGGCCAAGGTGTACGGGACTCCAGCGCTTCAAAGTGCTGAAGCGCGCAATTGAACCGTCAGCAGCGGGTTTCACGCAAAATCCCACTTCCTTCATAGCACCCTCCCTCCTTTTCCTACAGCTCAATCCACAACAACCATAGTGTAAAGGGACTCCAACTCTTTCTGTTCGGCATCCATGGCTGCCCGCCATTCCTTGCTGTGGGGTCTCAACAGAGCTTGCCTTGGTGTTTTTGGCTTGATGACTCGTGGGGACGTGGTTGTTGCAGTGTAAAGCCGAGCAGTTGGAGTTTGAAGACTGTCGTGGCGTCCCTCGTTAGCAATTTCCTGCACGTCGTTGTTGTCGCTTTCAGGTGTAGGTCGGGGCTTCGCCATGGATAATTGTCGTGTGATGGTCCTGGTGGTGCTTCATCATCATCATCGTTGTCTTCGTCGTGAGGCCGATGATACGAGTCGGGATGCTCATCAGGTGAATTTTGATCAAGGATTGCGGATGCGGTTTGATCTTTGGGGGTGCAAAGCAGCTTTTCCCATGTGCATACGCTGTTGCTGCTCTTGCCGTATCTGCTCATAACTTGCTCCGCGAGGTTGAATATTTTGTAGAACGGGCTCTTGCTCTCCATGTCGATGATCATCCAATCTTTGTATTCGTAGTTGATGCTGAGGCAAATTCTCTGTCGCACGCGGCTTGCGAACTTTCCGGTGGTGGCGGTTGCGGGCATGCACTGCATCATGCAGCCCCATACGCACACCATTAAAATGTCTCCATTCTTCCCTATCCACTTGACGTGGGGTGAAAGGTTTTCGGTAATTGTCGTGGTGGAGAAAATACTGTAAAGCAGCATTTCATGTTGCATAGTATATGCCCTGTAGACAGGGGGGGATATTGACTTCTTCAGTAGCGCCCGCGCTTTTGTCATGGCTCCGCGGTTGGGGCGCTTGGTGACGACTTGCTGCGGATGCGCGTAGGAGAGAGAGTGAGATGTGATGCAGAATCTTTTATTCGCAAAGGAAGTCTTGCATTTCCTTGCTGCGAAACTCTACAACACGTCTGCCAACTTTGCAAATTCTCTCTAGATTGCCACTACGCATGAGCCAACCTTGGGCGGAGCACTTTGTGCACCCTGTTGCGATATTGTAAGTTCGCTATCCAGATGTAGGGTGTGCTGGTGTCAATGAGCCGCTGTCAGGGAGTAGCTTTTATCATTGAGGCAGCTGAAGCCGATGATGAGAAAAACGTTGTACACTCTATACTACTTCAGTTACCGGTTGGCGCTAGGTTCAAGCAGGGAAATGGACAGTTGAGTGAGCACGGCTTTAGGACAGATGGAGAAAACACGAGGCGGTGTTGTGTTTCTGAGTTTGGTTCCATCAGGGTGCAGTATGGCTTCAGGTGCGAACACTTTATCATTGATGTAGTTGTTGAGCATTTGACACGAGTGTCCGAGGGGTTGATGCCAGAGATCGTCATTTGTGCAGATACTGTTAACGGGAATGGAGTGTTGGCCCCGGCCTTGCTTGGGCAACGCCAACGTCCTAGTCGGGTACATGGGAGAAGCAGCCGACTCTTCGCAGTGAGGGGGCTGCTCGACGGGCTTCGTCGAGCTGCAAGGATCACTGTGGTGTTGCTGTCGACCAAGGGTGCTCAACGGTAGCAGCTGACTGGGCTGGTCGATGGGTGGGCCGTCGACCAGGAGGAGCAGTTCGACAGGGAGGTCGACGGAGCAGTCCGCTGACCTGATACGAGAGCAGCAGTCAACGAAAGGGAGCTCGGCGATAGTGGCTGTAGTGCTGGTCGACGTGTCAGAATGAACAAGAGTGATTGCACTAGGAAAGAGTTGGGTACAAGTAGGAAACCCTAAACTTACTGTACCCCATAGTAACTACCCCACTACAGCTTAAACAAACTGTAGTAGACATAACATTTGACACACCCCCATAGGCAAAGTGGGGGAGAGCAAGGGGTCACAAGACCAGTCAAGAAAGGCAAAGCAAGCTCAGGGTGGATCACAACGTCACCACACACTCTGAGCACAAGCAAAGGGCCACAAGGCCAGTCCACATGCAGAGGCACATATGCAACACAAACAGCACAGTGATCTCTACCTAGCAAAGCAAGCATGCAGGTGTGCATATATATAGATCACAGTACAAGCAAAGCCTACAGCAAGTGAGGAAAAGTGGGCACAAGCCCTAGCATAGTGCAGAAACGCTGATGATCACCAGACTGAAGTGCCTTGGTGAATATATCAGCACTGTTGGCCCGAGTGGCCACGTAACGCAGACGAAGCTGACCACGCTGCTGCAACTCTCGAGCCAGGAAGTAACGCAGAGCGATGTGCTTCGTTCTGTGCTCCAGTCTGTGCTCCTCACACAAGGCAATGGTAGCCTTGTTGTCGACGTACAGCACTGGAGGAGAACGAGGCCGCTCTCCCAAGTCAGTCAGCAGGTAGGTGAGCCAGCGTAACTCTTGTGCAGCCATGGCTGTGGCGTAGATCTTAGCGTCACAACTGGAGCTGAGAACTGAAGACGAACGTGTAGAACGCCAAGAAACTGAACCAGAGCCAAGGCTGAAGGTGTAACCCTGTGACGATCGCTGCGTAGCCTGGTCGTCAACCCAAGAAGCGTCTGAGTGCCCAGTGAGGACAACTGAGCTCCTCCCTCCAAGCACGAGTCCCATGCCTGATGTACTGCACAAGTAGCGCAGTAGCCTCTTAGCAGCATCCATGTGCACCTTTCGGTGCCGACCAGGAGCCATGTAGCGAGCCAGAAGGCCAAGAGGGTACGCGAGGTCAGGACGAGTGCAAGTCATCAGGTACATGAGACAGCCAACTAGCTCTGGGTAAGGACCACTCGGCTCTACGGACTCGTCCGAAGGCAGAGCTGAGAGCGAGTGACCTGTAGCCAGAGGAGTGGCCTGTGCCGAGGACCAGGTGAAGCCGAAGCGCTGAAGGACCTGCTGCACCATGTGTGACTGAGTCAGTGTGA